TTAGCGAATACATATTACAACTAATAATCCAAGGACAAAGGTATTCGACAACTAATATTATCATTTATTATTTATATAATAAATTGACGATAACACTTAGAGATTTTAATCTAATCAACGTTTAATTAAGACTATATAGATAGAGGAAAAATATTGAAAATTTGACATCTTAGTTATTGTTTTTCTAACTTCATTCATTGAAATGAAGGTGAGAATAAACTAATTAGTGAAATATGAACAAATAAGGAGATATAAAGATAATATACAGAAAAATTCTGCAAGAGCTCTTGAAAAGCTCGAAGTACTAGAAACTGACTTGAATCAACATTGTGTTAAATCACTCAAATAAAAGAAATAAAAGAATATAAAGTATATTGTAAAAATTCCATGAAATTCCACTTGCTGAATTTTTACGGGAAACACTTAAAAATCCCGAGGAATTTTTCCGATATTTTTAATGTTTTCATAAATTTTAATTAACTATATACTAACAAGTCGTATCATTCTTCAGTAAACTCAAAAATCATGATTTTTTTTCGAAAACAAGATTTTACGCGTGACAATCAATTAGAGTTGCGTTCTTGTTCAACAATTAGTTTGTCAATGTAAATTCTCTTATCGATTTGAAAAACTTTAAATTTTTCTGTAGCTTACATTTTGTATTTTTAATTCTGGTGTATTAACCAACAATTAATGTAAATGACAAAAATGGTTGACCCAATACTTTGTGAAGATGCTAGATGATCAACAGTTTATTTGATCACAAAAAAAATTATAGGTTGCTACGGGAGTGAGACGTGATTATCTCTTGATTCATTGGAATAGTGTCACCATAAATAGTATCATCACTGTTATTTTGTGTGACAAATTACATTAGCGTTATGATATTAACTACCTATCTATGCAAGTGTACAACTAAATTACAAGAAAGCATGTAATCTCAATTGTAAAACTACAAATAAGAAGCATACAAAGTGCCGACCTAGTCGTATTAAGTAGATCGATTAGAAACTAAAAGAATAGTCTTCAAGTGGTTTTTATAATGCTATTTTTCATAGTTTTCAGAAACAGTAACTTACGGAGTTTTATTTGAAACCGATAACTTGCACATTTATGAAGTGAGTCAATGGTAAAGATATTTACTGAATTATTTTAGAAGTATACACTTCTATTGCCTCATATTTAGTGGAATTCAACGTTCTGAAAAGTTATTTTTGATGAGGACGATGCTGATTCGATAGGTTACATATTAAAAACATTCGCATTTACAGTCGGAAAAGATTAATATTTATTTTAATGAAACAACAGGTACGCTTTATTATAAAAATAGTTAATTCCCTTTTGCTGCTACTGAAGTCATCACAAACTCTTTTAGTGCTTTTATTGTTTGTTGACGCTGTTTTAGATATAGCGTGTAAAGAAGTCAAAGCATATGATTATCAAACTGTTCGATATCAAAAAATTTATAATTCAGTCGAAATTAATTCAAAAGATCAAGATATACTTTATTTCCTTTGGTGTACTCTGGAATTCAATAAAAGTTTTAAAAACGAACAGAAAAATACTTTGGTTTTACAAGAAGCTCTGCTAGAAACCTCTAGAAATCAAGACTGTCTTTTACTCATCTTAAGCTCAGAATTAGTTTGAGTAGATAAAATGCAGTTTACTTGGATGTACTGAATTAGTTTCGAGTCATTTATGATCACCTGAGTAGTAGAAAAAAGGAATTAATTATTTTTGTAACAAATCGTACCTGTTGCTTCAGTAAAATAAATATTAATCTGTTCTAATTATAAATGCGAATTATCAGATGTTATGTAATGTTTGTTTTCGTTCACAGAGACATTATTAGTATTTCCATGTCCGCACCTTTCTTTCCCAGTTTCGCTCCTTTCATATTGCATGATCTTCAATCGTATCGTGCTATTACAGTGTCAGCCTGGTACACATCAGAAAGCAGAAAAATAAGATCAAAAGGAAGAAAAAATGATGCATGATGTTTGATGTTTATGCTTAAAAACTTGAAGGCGGCGAGTAATCTAAGACATGAAAAATATTTTTCATTACTGGTAAATGGTTTTTTGCAGAATCATTCGAAAAACAACAACAACAAACAAGACGCGATTTTCTGCGATCACAATTGAATCGGAAGCTCGCGATGCGACGATCAAGGGTTAATGTTCGTCGTGACGCTACTATGTGTCTGAAAAAAGACAAGATCTTGGTAGATCGGTCCCTGTCTCGCGATTTCATGTAGTACTTTAGTTTGAGTTTAACTGATCAAACTGTATTAGTTAGGAATCTAATAAGCAGTAGTATTTTTGAGAAATGTATAAATTGAATAAGAAAACTTTAAAGTAATTAATGCATTAGGTGACGGAAGAACAACGAAAGCACTAACTGCGCAGTGAGTAATGACTACACTGTAATTTAGAATTATTTTCTACTTTACAGAAAATCGCCAAGGATTTTCCAACTTTTATAAAATCCTCAGGGATTTTCTGACTATAAATAAATCGAAGGAAATTCGATTTTCTATAATCTGGAAAATCTGTGGAGATTTCATATATGGACTTTTTGAAAATCGCCGAGCATTTTCTATAAATAATTCTCGCCTTTACAGTGTAGAATAATAGTAATAGATCAGAACGTATGTGTATGTTAAATAACTTTCATTGTTTTTTTTGTCTGCATATGATACTGGTGATGTTGACTGTTAATAAACTTTCTCAATACGACGAACACAGTTGAATCTAATATTATAACAAAGTTTAAATTTTTTCAATTTTAAAATAAAACCTCGTTGTTTAATATCAGCCGATAAAGCCTGAAAATCTTTTTTTTGCTGCATCCTTTAATCCTTCAAGATAATCGTTAAATTTTACTTTAATTGATTTTTTTTCATGTGTATCGACTGTGATATAGAATCGACGTTAAATAAATATGTTGTTTTTTGGTATCGTCGTCGTCGAGGAATAAGGTGCTGCAATGTACACACTAATATATAACTTCATTATCGATAATATCATTATCTCTGTTACAATGTACACAGCTAATACTTTTTTTTAAATACTTGAATACCAATTACATTAACAAAGATTTCAAATTTTTCCTGGATAGTAATATCACGTAAAGCCGGATCAAAATTTTCTTTAATAGTCTGTAGAGAAGTAATGAGAAAAGGATGTAATTAAACATTTCGGATTTCTGCAGGTATGTCTCTATCGTCATTTTCTACTTGGTTTGACACTGTTGCTTCTATATTACTTTCGTTATTCATTGTAGTGAGAGATAACTTTTTAGGTACAAAAGTACGACATTTTTTCTGCCTATTATTAATAAGATTTAGTTGATATCGTTGCAGCTATAAAAGTAATTTATATCCATGATTCTCTTCTTCTTAATACTTTCAGCATTATTATGAAATTTTATGAGTAACTATGAAAATCTATGGCAGTTACACCCTGCCGTCGATTTTTTTAAAATTACGGCGTAGTACGATGTATGAATAGTCAAAATAAACTTGTTAATAAGGCAAATAAGTGCGTGAAGAGAAAATGCAGTTGATTTAGTACGGCCATACTGTTTTATTTCTACTTTTTGACCTGTTCGAACTGATACTTCTACTACTATCAGCGCCAAAATTCAATGCACCCGGTTGTTTTTCAAATAACTTCAGAACGATAAAAGATAAAAACTTGCGATTTTCAACAATCGAAAGAAGACAGTTTAACCTATGTTTACATAAGCAGAACTCTTTTCCGAAACCATTCGGAAGATCGATTTTGCAGGAGATCTTTGGAAAACTACTTCAGATCTTTGGAAACTGAGATAGCAATCTATAAACTTTTTTCCATAGATACATAGTCCAAGGTCTCCTCTCCAAAATGCGAACGAAGCGAACTCTTAAGTTTTCCCGGTTCAGGCGTGGTATCAGATTTCCTGAGAGTCCCAGGATCAATATTATTTTGGGTGTGGTTAATTCCAAAAATAATGAAAGCATAAGCAATCAACCACGCTGAATCTCCTGGCAATATTTGTTTTTCAGAAAACCTCCAACAACCTAGTGAAAACCTGTATTAGGTGGAATAACCCATTTTTGCCTATCAAGTATAATTAAAAAATTCATAATCCAGTTAAGACCCATCGAACTTATGTTAGAATATTAACATGTACTCTATTTTACCTGCTCAATACAATTTTTTACTTGAGAGTAGTAAAAAACATTCTTGTACTTTGAAAGATTTCTAGAAAACCTTTTCAAAAACCAAAGAATGTTCTGTTGATTTTTTTTTGGAACTGCATAGTATTAAGCAGGTAAAATAGAGTACATCTTGATATTATGACGTAATTTCGATGGAGTGTGACTGGATTATGCAATCCGCATATTGGATAGGACACTTTGGACTATCTGTCTATGAAAAAAACTTATAGATTCCTATCTCAGTTTCCAAAGATCTGAACTAGTTTTCCAAAGGTCTCCTACAAAACCGGTCTTCCAAATGGTTTCGGAAAAGAGTTCTGCTTATGCAAACATAGATTAAACTGTCTTCTTTCGATTGTTGAAAATCGCAAGTTCCTATCTTTTATCGTTTCGGAGTTATTCGAAAAACAACCGAATGCACTGAATTTTGGCGCTGATAGAAGCACAGTTTCTACCAGCTGAACATCTACTTTTCAGCCATTTATAATGATATGACAAATAGCATGTTGAATGCTGTTGAAAACTCAAAAACAATAGAACTTTGATTTACTAAATCGTGCCTATAATTCTCCATTGTTGCTGAAACGAAGTTAACCGATAAGAAAACCCCAAAGTCTTCGCAAACGTCTAGAACGTTGTGAACGTCTACAAAGTTAATAGCAATACTCCCTTTAGAATGCATTTAACACTCATCTCATTTAGACAGTGTAATCCATTTTTACACGATCACAGCAAGTCTAATAACTACCTAGCTTTTTTATTGATAAAAATTTCAAAAAAATGATAAAAATAATTATTATTTTTCGTTTGTTGTATCTTGACTAATTTCAACCGGCACGCTTAACACTAATTGTTGAGTTTTGCGAATAAATTTTGCTGTTAAACGATTTGAATCTGTAACATTTCGTTTTTTTAAATTGAGTGACAGTTTCATTCTTATTTTTTCGCATAGGATAGTAACAAAATGATCTTTAACTGTTACATCACAATCACTAACTTGATCACAACCGGGTAAATTAATACGTATTAGCAACCGATTATTCAATATCTCTTCAGTGAACACTGGTTTTAGCCAGTTGTCCGATTTTGTATCAGTCATTTCTTCAATTAAAACTTTAGGATTTTGAGATGCAATTTTACATTCAGATGGTGGAGGCGGTGGTGGAGGACTACTTGCTTTAATAGAAAATGATGATAACTGATTAATTAGTGATGGACTTAAACCATTTTCTAATAGCTGCTCGTGCGCATCACTATTGCTGTTCATATTTACTGAATTATTATTTTTGTTCTTTAACGGTTTTACAAATTCATTTTGATATTGTTCCTTATTACCGATACAATTACATTCCGTTAGTATTTCATATTGATTAGAATCTAATAACAAATCATATTGTGAGGCTATTAAATCAAACGTTGCCTTAATTATTTGAGGTCTTTTCTGTTCTAACTCATTCTTATTCTCACACTCTAATATGTCTGGATGAATTGCAACGTTGACAATTATGCAATTTTCTAAAATGAATATTTAAAACAAAGTTGTCATAGAATAACTGATTTTGAGTTCACCACTTCGTTACCATTATTGTGTGTGGTTTTAATTGGTTCTAAGCTGTATATTTTCGTTGATTCTGTTTTTGATGATGGTAATCTTGACCATGTAAAAACATTTAAATAAAATACTCTGATGTTTGGATAACTCTAAACGCAAGAAATGATGCCTATGGGTTTAACAAAATAGTTGAAACTTACGAGCAATGTCGATCGAATTGTCATTAACGGTGTAGGTGGTGCCATCCATTCCTTTCCATCATTCAAAGTTTTTTCGATAAAGTTTCTAAAGAACAACAGTGATGGTTCATGTACATAATCGCTCATTTTTTGTCAATATGTTAACCTTATTTTATTCATCAAATAAAACTTACTTATAAGCGTTTGGATCACTGTCGGCTAATTCATCTAACATTTTCCAAATATGTTTCGCTTTTTCGTTAACACTATTTGTCGGTTTATCACTTTGAAAACGTAAAAAGTCCATGTTTTGTTCTAAGGTTTTTCTCGATCGTGAAATTCAATATTGATAATATTATTCCTTTTCTTTCTATAAAAAGAGCATGTGGCACTTAACGAATAACAAGAACTATATTCCATTTCTATTCCTGGTACCTGCAGCTGGGTTGCTAAGACACGACTACTGGTGTATTGTTGAAAAATGTTTATATCTTTCCACAGCATCTTACTTCCAATTTTTCATCTACAGAACATCTGCTAAACAGAGTTCTACTAATCATGCTTCTGAAGTACACTTGTTAGAATTGATTGTAGCGCTGTTAATAATCAAGGACTACATTCTTAGTAGAAATTATCGTGCAACTTTTATGATGTACATCGCTACTTGTTTGTCATTATCGCAAAATCGACTTTTTATACGCTGAACAGAATCGGTTCAAATTTTTTTTCTGAGTAGCATATTGAATGAATTAAATGCGCCATTATTCGCGCGAAAATGCCTAAAGTGATTTAAATAAAGAGATACTTTGCTGCCCGTATATATTCATTCAATATGCTATTCAGAAAAAAAATTTGGACCGATTCTGTTCAGCGTATAAAAAGACGATTTTGCGATAATGGTTCTTGAGTAAGAAGTTATTACTTAAAATTAATACGTATTGATAGTATATGGTTATAGTAACCATAAACCTCATAATACGATCAGCTGTATTTTCTTTCTGTTCCAGATACCAGTTTCTTCTTATGGGCGTCCTTTAGAAATTATCGTACAATGATATCCTTTTACTTTAATAATATAAAACAAGAAGATTTCAAAAAGATTAATGACATACATCTCTGAAAACTTCTCAGTGATGTACTTAAATAGAAAGTTCGACTTATGAGCTCGTTCTCGGACGGCCCTCATTATATTTTGAAGAAATTTCGCCACCACAGTTTCATCGGCTAATTTGAATCATTCTTTCAGTGTTCGCATAGATATACAAATTCGATCCTCACTTCGTTTCAGAAGAATGCAGAGGAAATCATGTTGAAAGTAGTATTAACCGAGAATGATCACTTCAGTAGTGTTGCCCCGTAAGCATGTTCGCGAAAGTTAATCGATCCTATTCTTGCTCAATTCATAATAGTTTAATTTTTATCTTTCAAAGCATTCTTTCAAGAATACAGCGTTTTCAAAAATCGGAAAAAATGCTAGAAAGTACAGAGCTGCTTACTACAACACTCGAGACGCCGCTAGAAAACTTTCAAGAAAAAATATTTATAACTACATCAGTTTTATGTTAGTTTATTTAACAGAATCATTTTTCAGACAAAATCGACTTTTAATCAAAGCAACTTTGCATAGGATAAGGAATTCTTATTCGTAACTACTCTGAACTTCTCACTGTCAACTTCTCAACACGTGACGAATGTAAACTTCAGGATTTGTACGAACATTTAGATACTGGAACGGCCGTTTCGTTACCTTCTTAAAACTAGCTTAGTTGCTGGAGAGCACGGGAGACGATCAGCATAAGTAGGTTCATGTATTAAGGAAAACAGAGTGTACGTAGGTGAAGTGGTTCTCTCCTTTTGAGTGTCGCATGTGCTTTTTGTTCGAGCAGAATGTTAGGCAATCCTATAGATTTTAGTTTGCGTTTTTCAGCGGAGTTTTTTTACATGAAACTGTGTTCTACTTTCAGAAAAGATAGGTTTCATAGGTATAAAGAACTCCAAATACTCAGATAGAAAATATTCTAGGAGAAAAGGTTCCTGTTCGTAATCTAAAAGCTTAGATTTGTTTTCAACATGACAAGAACTCAAGAACCTGAAAGTATTTCGAATTTTTACCGGCATATATTTTAGATTCGTTACGAATAAGAATTCCTCACTTCATCCAACTTTGATTAGACGTGATCATAAAGATTTCAGAATGTAAACATAACTGGTTTTGATCAGTAGTGGATGCTTTCTTATACAGCGATATATTTTGTCTTACAAACAGCATAGGTATGAGCAGTGAGGAAACAACAGGAATACCATTTTAGCAAAAAGTTAAATAAACATGTCATTAAAATCGCTCCATTTTGGACGCTTACTTGAGATTAGCAATAAAATCGCCAGTTAATCGCAATTTTGACTAAAATTGTCCATAAATTGCGATATATCGGCGATTTTTAACAACTGGTAATTAATCGGCCTTCATTAAAAATCGCCAGTTGTTAAAAATCACCAATATATCACCATTCTTAAAAACATCGCAAATTAATTATGATTAATTAGCGATCCTGGTGATTTTTCTGTTTTTCTGATAATTGTCAATTAATTGCGATTAATTGTTGATTTTAAGCCATTAAATGGTTTTCTGTTATTCACCGCTTTATTCTGCAGTAGAGTAAGTATATAAGAAACACGATTTTCACAAGAAATGTTCTCCTTTTCAGGTTATCTTTTTAGTTTAGCTTAAAACGAAGTGACCAAGAATGTTCTGTAGTTTTCTCAGAACTGATTCATTGTTTCGATTTGATTCAGTTTTGAATCGAAGAGCCCGGTTGACTGTTAAGCTAAAAAATCGCCGATTAATTGCTATTAATCCGTAAATCGTCGATTTATTGCCGATTTTGACTATATGGGCAGTCGAGAAATGTAGTTAAAATGTAGTTTAAACGTTGTTCTTTCTAATGGTGATTCAGCTTGATCTTTTCACTCAGGTATGAGCTATTAAATTCAGCTCGGCGTCTTGTCTTCTAGAGATGGAAAAATTTTGGGCTGACTTTCTCTAAAACTGGTCGATGTTCTTAAGGATTGCTTTCCAAAGAGATCTACATTCATTACATTTGAAACTGCATACAATATCGCGAAACAGTATTTTTGATCATAAGTATAGAAGTAACTGAATAATTCTGACAATTTCGCTTAAACTTGTTTAGGATCCTAATAGAATCTTAGAAAATCCTATGACTTTCGGGTATACCTGATTTCATTAGGATTCTGTAAGATTTGTTAGGATCTTAAGGAATAAAAGCGAAATCCTAGTAGGATGCTGGTAGGATATGTCTCGGATCCTGTCCAGAAACTTATAAGGATTTTACTAGGGTTACCAATGTGAAGTGAATGTGGATACAACTCTTGATTTCGTTTGACCTCAAAAGAGATAATAAGTTTTATTCCTGAACGAGATAATAGAACGAAAAATGTGAAAGTTTTGTAATTTCAAAAGAGATAATAACTTCGACTAATAATCAAGAACGAAAAAAAAGCTAAATTTTCGTGTTTTCAAAAGAGATAATATAGAATGAAAACGAGGCTTCATGACTGAGACCACTTTTTTTTATGATTATTAATTAGATTTAAAGAGTGGTCTCAATTTGGAAATGAAAATTTTATAGTAGAAAAAGCGATCTCAATTTGCAATGCATATATTCTCTCGTTTCTTATACAAATAAAATGTGGTCTCAATTTGGAATAGAGCGTTTGTTCTTTTCACATGCTTGGTACACTGTTCATAGTTTCGAATCACCTTTTAATTAGGAATGATTGGCTACTATACAGACAGAAACTGATTGAAATATTTTTCAAAACTGATGCTTAAAACTAAATTGAGCTGAGAGCGACATTACTGGATCGGGTGAGACTATAAAAATGAAGAGCAT